TGGCAGGGGGTGGGACTGGATGGGCTTTAAGGTCCCTTCCCACCCCAACCATTCCATAACCTCTTCAAACAACATCTGTAGGTTGTGGCCACCCACACCAAGTGTCTGAAGCTGAAGAACCCCCTACAGCCATCACAGGATCTGCCCTGTGGCCCCCAGACAGGCTGCACCCACCTCTTGGGGACACACACAGGTGTCACCCCCCCGGGGTGAAACAGGGGAGTTGTCACCCAGCTTTTGTGGCTGTGCCATTTGGGATCAGGAGCAGCTGGGATCGAGACAAAACCTTTAACGGGAGAAACGGGAGCTTTCGTGGCAGCTCCCACCGAAGGACAAGCACAGCAGGGAACCAGTGTGTTTAGAAAGAAAAGATTAAAACAGTCTAAATATTAATAAAGAGAGAGATAAAATGGGTAATTATTGCTGGCACTCATTGATTTGCAGCCGCTGGGGACTCGTAAAGGTCTGATTTATGTCGCGTTGTGCCGTGGCCCAGATCCATCACTTCTGGGAACCCACTGCTGTGCTTGTTGCTCAGGTACTTCGGGCTGTCAAACTAAAAGCAAATAAAACTGGTGGTGCTGCTGGGGCTCCAGTGGCCTCACATTTGTCCTGTGCTCTGATCCTTCCAGCCCAGCAGCTGCCAGCAGCTCCCTCCTACACGAACATCTCTGGAAAGATGTAGTACTGAAGTTCCAGCCTTCAAAATTTCTTCCCTGTATTTCATTTGCAAAGAGATATTTAGATATAATCTTTTGGAATACAGGAAAGAAATTACTGTAAGGCTTAGAATAGCAAATTAAATCATACAAGCAAGTGACAATATGCTGCCAGGTTTCTCCTCCAGAAGGACATCAAGGGTTAGATCTCAACTCTGCTCCTCATTGCTTTCTCCTGCACAATAAAACGTCATTTTTACAGATTCTCCTTGTTTCTCTTTGTCCAGCTCTCAGCTCATAGAATTTGTTCTTTCCAGCACAGGGCTTTATAAAATACATCAGGGTCTGTGAGCAGCAGAGCTGTGCATGCCATTACCATAACATTATTCCTCCCGAGCCTGTCCCGATTTACTTCACTTAAAACTTTCTTTCCCTCCTTAATAATAATCCTTTTATGAACACAGAGCAGCAATAACTCTCCTTATCATCCCCTCTGCACAGGGCAGCTCCTGGAGAACCCCAAGCAGGAGCTGCAGAGGCTTTGCTTTGCTCAAAGCCAGGTTTGGGAAGCTTTCAGGAGCTGCTGCACCACCTATTAACTCTGCCCTGATCAGGGACTGCCTGCACCCCCTTTTATTTCCCTTCTAATTAGGGTGTTGCACCTTCATCACCCTCCCAGAGGCCCGTGGCTCCCCGGAGGGTTCAGTGGGGGGCGGGTTGGAGGTGACTCTGCTCATGATGCCACAGGGTTGCCTAAAATTGTGCAAAATTGCGGGAAGCACCGAAAAGTTGTGCAAACCCGAGGGAGGCACGCAGAGCATCCGCAGAGGCTGGAGGGGAGGGAGCTGCAGCATCCCTGGGAGGGAGCCGGCTGAGCCCCCCGGCACCCCTGCGCTGGGGGAGGGTGGTGGCAGCCCCTGTGCTGGGAGGGCCGGGGGTCGGCACC